ATCTCCCCCATCCCACCCCTCCCCCTGCCTCTATGGCAGAAAATCTCCCCCATGCTCTTTTTTTTGGGGGGGTTGCTTTTTGGGTCACACCCAGCCATGCTCAGGGGTTCCTTCTGGCTCTGCACTCAGGAATTACCCCTAGCGGTGCTCAGGGGACCATATGGGATGCTGGGAACCGGGGTCGGCCGCGTGCAAGGCAAACGCCCACCTGCTGTGCTATCGCTCCAGCCCCAGCCCCCTACTCTCTTTTGTATTGCTTGTTATGAATAGCATGAGATGTCCTGGCCATGCTCCCGTCCCGTTGTTCATCGATTTGCTCGAGCGGGCACCAGTAACGTTTCCACGGTGAGACTTGTTGTGACTGTTTTTGGCATATCGAATACGTCACGGGGAGCTTGCCAGGCTCTGCTGTGCGGGTGGGATACTCTCGGTAGCTTGCCAGGCTCTCCTAGAGGGGCGGAGGGCTCGAACCCGGGATAGCCGTGTGCCAGGCAAACGCCCTACCCGCTGTGCTCCACGTCTGGAGAAATCTCTGCAGTGAGCTGCTCGGTTCGGAGATTCTTTTGTGTGTCTCTGGATCGTGGCCGTTAAGGAGCTTAAGTCGCAGAAATGGGCCTGTTCGAATACAAAGCGCCCCTGCTCCTGTCCCCAAAAGGTCCCCAGACGCCCGGATTCCTGCTGTGCCTCGAGCTGTCCACCAGGTGGTGTCGTGCCCGCCTGCGTCCCCGCCCGCCCACGTGTCTGACAGGGGTGAAACGCGCGGCGCGGTCGCCCCCTGCTGACCCGCTTGTCTTTTTCTCGCTCCCAGCACACACCCGGCTTGTGGGCATCTGGCCGCAGGGCTGTAGTTTGGAGGAAGGGCGGCCGGCCGCCCCTCGGTGCCCCTGCAGATGTGACAAACTGGGTTCCTGTGGCCCCCGCCGTCCCCCCCTACACACACACACAGACACACACACACGGAAAAACAACCTGCTCTAAATCAGTCCACCGGCAGCCTTCCTTCCTGCGTGCTGAATTTGTGACAGTACTTAGGTGGATGAGTCACTTCCCACCCCTGCACTGTGCCCCCCACTTGCCACCCCTGCACCGTGCTCCCCACTTCCCACCCCTGCACTGTGCCCCCCGCTTCCCACCCCTGCACTGTGCCCCCCGCTTCCCACCCCGCACTGTGCCCCCCACTTCCCACCCCTACAATGTGCCCCCCACTTCCCACCCCTGCACTGTGCCCCCCACTTCCCACCCCTGCACTGTGCCCTCCACTTCCTCCCCCTGCACTGTGCCCCCCACTTCACACCCCTGCACTGTGCCCCCCACTTCCCACCCCTGCACTGTGCCCTCCACTTCCTCCCCCTGCACTGTGCCCCCCACTTCACACCCCTGAACTGTGCTCCCCACTTCCCACCCCTGCACTGTGCTCCCCACTTCCCACCCCTGCACTGTGCCCCCCACTTCCCACCCCTGCACTGTGCCCCCTACTTCCCACCCCTGCACTGTGCCCCCCACTTCCCACCCCTACAATGTGCCCCCCACTTCCCACCCCTGCACTGTGCCCCCCACTTCCCACCCCTGCACTGTGTCCCGCACTTCCCACCCCTGCACTGTGCCCCCCACTTCACACCCCTGAACTGTGCTCCCCACTTCCCACCCCTGCACTGTGCCCCCCACTTCCCACCCCTGCACTGTGCCCCCTACTTCCCACCCCTACAATGTGCCCCCCACTTCCCACCCCTGCACTGTGCCCCCCACTTCCCACCCCTGAACTGTGGCCCCCACTTCACACCCCTGCACTGTGCCCCCCACTTCCCACCCCTACAATGTGCCCCCCACTTCCCACCCCTGCAATGTGCCCCACTTCCCACCCCTGCACTGTGCCCCCCACTTCCCACCCCTGCACTGTGCCCCCTACTTCCCACCCCTGCAGTGTGCCCCCCACTTCCCACCCCTGCACTGTGTCCCGCACTTCCCACCCCTGCACTGTGCCCCCCACTTCCCACCCCTGCACTGTGCCCCCCATTTCCCACCCCTACAATGTACCCCCCATTTCCCACTCCTGCATGAGCTCCCCACTTCCCACCCCTGCAGTGTGCCCCCCACTTCCCACCCCTGCACTGTGTCCCGCACTTCCCACCCCTGCACTGTGCCCCCCACTTCCCACCCCTGCACTGTGTCCCGCACTTCCCACCCCTGCACTGTGCCCCCCACTTCCCACCCCTGCACTGTGTCCCGCACTTCCCACCCCTGCACTGTGCCCCCCACTTCCCACCCCTGCACTGTGCCCCCCATTTCCCACTCCTGCATGAGCTCCCCACTTCCCACCCCTGCAGTGTGCCCCTCACTCCCCACCCTGCACTGTGCCCCCTGCTTGCAGCGGCGAGGCAAAGGCATGTGCCTTCCAGGAGCCTGGCCTTAGGCAGCCACCCTGAGGGGTTCTCCTGCCTTGGTGGGATATTTTGAGGGGGAGGCACCCAGTAGTGCTCAGGGCTTACTCCTGCCTCTGCATTCAGGAATCACTCATGGTGGGGTCTGGAGGGTCCCCTGGGGTGCCAGAGCTTGAGCCCAGTGGGTAGCACGCAAGGTCAGTGTCCTCCCCGCTGCACTAATGTTCTGCCCTGCCTCACTGGGAGCATCAGTGCCTCTGGGGGGGGGGGGGGGGAGAGACACCTCTGGCTTCGGGGCCCAGATCTGGTCACTCAGGGTCCAGGGGTAAGCGGGGCTGCTCCCTGGCCCCTGCAGAGCAGGCCCAAATTCCTGCCTAGGCACCCCCTCCTTGCCACCTGCCCTGAGATGCCCTTCACCCTGGTCTCGACAGTATCCCAAGCTGGTCCCCATGTGGCTGGGCACCGCGGTTCTCCTTGCGATTTGCCTGCAGGTGTGGGTGTGGCTGCAGACCTGATTTAAACTGGACAGAATTTGCAAATCAAATTCCACAACGGGGGGGGAAAAAAAAAATCACTGACCATAACCGACTCTCTGGCTAGTCTTATTTGCATCCTAGAGCGCTGAAGTCAGGAAGAACCCAGTGGCAGCTGCTCTCAGAGCACCAGCGGGAAGGAGCCATGCCAAGTGCCGCGGGCTCCCACGGGGCTTTGAACCTGCCCTGAAGCCACTTTCTGCCAACCAAAACCCTACCAGGGCCCAAAGCAAGTGGACAGGACAAGCCCAGGTCCTCCACCAGATGTTTCTCCGTGACTCCAGCTGTGTGGGCGGAATACTCTCGGTAGCTTGCCGGGCTCTCCGAGAGGGGCGGAGGAATCAAACTCGGGTCCACCAGGTCGGCTGCGTGCAAGGCAAACGCCCTACCCGCTGTGCTATCACTCCAGCCTGAAACAGATACCAGTGTCTTTTTTCTTTTCTTTCTTTTTTTTTTTTTTTTTTTTTTTTTTTTTTTTTTGCTTTTTGGGTCCCACCCGGCGATGCTCAGGGCTGACTCCTGGCTCTGCACTCAGGAATCACTCCTGGTGGTGCTCTGGGGACCCTATGGGATGCTGGGAATTGAACCCGGGTCAGCCGCATGCAAGGCAAACACCCTACCCGCTGTGCTCTCGCTCTAGCCCCCGATACCAGTGTCTTTACCCAAACACTCTTCTTTATTTTTCTCTCCTCATGCCCCTTCTCGGCTACTTTCTGCTTGCAAAACAATCCTGAGACTACATGGCTAGCTGCGGGGCCCAAGCAGAGCACATCCGTCCCAGTCCAGTCCAGTCAATGAGGGTCAGTGCCCTGAGCCCCTCCTCCCATCCACAGGGGCAGCTGTGGGCAGGGCCCGCGGGAAGAAAGAGCAGAGACCACTGCTCAACTGAGGAACCGGACAGATTCTCTCTTTTTTTTTTTTTTGGCTTTTTGGGTCACACCCAGTAATGCACAGGGGTTACTCCTGACTCTGCACTCAGGAATTACTCGTGGCAGTGCTCGGGGGACCGTATGGGATGCTGGGAATCGAACCCGGGTCGGCTGCATGCGAGGCAAACACCCTACCTGCTGTGCTATCTCTCCAGCCCCATTTTTTGGGCTGGAGCGATAGCACAGCGGGTAGGGCGTTTGCCTTACACGCGGCCAACATGGGCGACCCGAGTTCGATTCCTCCGCCCCTCTCGGAGAGCCCGGCAAGCTACCGAGAGTATTCGATATGCCAGACACAGTAACAACAAAGTCTCCAATGGAGACGTTACTGGGCCTGCTCGAGCAAATCGACGATCAACGGGAGGGCCTTTACCTTTACCTTTACCTTTTATACATCGGAGCAATAGCATAGCAGGTAGGGCGTTTGCCTTGCACGTGCCCGACCCAGGTTCGATTCTTCCATCCCTCTCAGAAAGCCTGGCAAGCCACCGAGAGTATCCCACCCGCATGGCAGAGCCTGGCAAGCTACCCATGACGTATTTGATATGCCAAACACAGTAACAAGTCTCACAATGGAGACGTTACTGGTGCCAGCTCGAGAAACTCGACGAACAACGGGAGGACAGAGCTACAGTGTTTATTTTCATAAAGTAGTTCACAATAGTTCACGGCAGATAACATACACACACCCACCCCACCAGTGAGCAGCTTCCCACCACAATAAGAGAGAAGTGTGTGAAGGTTGTTGTATTTCATTCTGGGGCCACTTAAGCTCGTATATAAGAGAATACAAGCAAGTATAAGGCAAAGGAAAGGTAAAGGCAAAGGCCCTCCCGTTGATCGTCGATTTGCTCGAGCGGGCCCAGTAACGTCTCCATTGGAGACTTTGTTGTTACTGTGTCTGGCATATCGAATACTCTCGGTAGCTTGCCGGGCTCTCCGAGAGGGGCGGAGGAATCGAACTCGGGTTGGCCATGTTGGCCGCTTGTAAGGCGAACGCCCTACCCGCTGTGCTATCGCTCCATCCCTACTACAAGCAAGTATGTTAAAACCAAGCCAATGCGTGCTCCTTTGGTACATCAGTGGACTGGAGTATAAAAGCATTTGCGGCCGCGTGCTCTGGGAAATCGCTCTCCTCTGAGAGTTTTATTTTATAGTCTCTGGGTCTTGGCCGTTGATGAGATTACACGGCGTCAGGAGGGGGGCCGGGGCGTCTGTGGGTGTGACTGCCAGGAGGAAAACCGGGGAGCCAGGGGGAGGAGGCCCAGACCTGATCCGAGTGGGCTTGGCGATCTCAGCCCCCGGGTCCCGCATGACAGGTCCTCTTCGACCTCAGCTGAGGAACCTGGACAGGTCCTCTTTGATCTCGGCCTCGTCCCAGGGCCCGTGGATGTTCTCTTTGAAGAGCTGCAGGCGGATGAGGTAGAAGGGGCAGAGACAGGACACGGCCAGCAGCAGGAAGGCGAAGAGGACGGCGCCCACGGCACTGATGGACAGCAGGCCGGCGCAGGCGGCCAGCGCGAAGAGCAGCGTGACCCCCACGTAGCTGCGGGGCGTGCAAGCCTTGAGCTTCTTCTGAAGCATGGGCCACAGGGCGAAGATCTGGATGGCGCAGGTGACCATGATGAAGGCGTGCAGAGAGCGTGGCAGGCGCGAGGCCAGGCAGACGGAGGCGAAGATGGCCATGTTCAGGGACAGCGTGCTGGACACGATGGCCGCGTTGGCCCCGTAGTCGAAGAAGATGAGGTGGCCAAGCAGCATGAGGGCGGCCATGGCGTAGATGGTGTCGGTGCTCACCGACTCAGTCAGGGTCTTGAGCACCGGCGAGAAGCCATAGGTGAAGGCCACGAAGACCACCGCGCTCTTGAGGTCGGCCCAGCGGGTGCGTCCACTCTTCCGCCGTTCCTCCCCACCGTCCAGGACGTCGAACAGGACGTAGCCCAGCAGGGAGGACGCCAGGCCCGCGCCGAAGAGCCACTGCGGGGCCAGAAGCCCCTCGTCCAGGTACCACCAGATGACCACGAAGACGCACACGCTGCACAGCTGCTGGACCACCACGCTGGCCTCGAAGACCACCGCCCAGTACTCGTACCGGCGGGTGTGGATGTTCTTCCGCAGCTCCTCCAAGAAGCGCCGGTCCACGTAGTTGTCAGGGAACGGCTGACGCTCATATAACACCTTTTGCCACCGGACTTCTTTGCTGCTGGCCACGGGCCGGGCATACATCGTCTTCTTTCTCCTGCTTCTGCCGCGAGGCAGGCCAGCCGGGTCACCAGGACTCAAGTCGTTGGCCCCGTAGTCGAAGGCTCGTCCCCTAGAAAGTCTAGCGATGACTGTTATCCGGGGACACCCATGCTGTGCCCCCCAATCCTCTCTGATGCCGCCTTGCTGTGCCTGGTGGGCAGGAGACCACCGGGTTCCTAGCGGGAGAGAGACTTGAGTGAGTGCAGTGCAGAGTTATGACCAAAGCTCCCCTTGGATTTTTTGTGTTTTTTGGAGGGGGTGGTTTGGGGGCCACACCGGGCTCTGCACTCAGGAATCACTCCTGACAGTGCTCTGGGGACCCGGAGATCGAACCCAGGTCAGTCGCTGGCCAGGTAAATGCCCTCCCCGCTGCCTCTAACGCCCATAGTTTAATGCCCAGAGTTGCAAGTCATCCTTGGTGACAACTGCCTCGTCACTGGACATCAGTGCTTCCCCACAGAGTGGAAACGGTGCTCCCTTCGCTAGTGGCACACAAGTGGGAGGACCCATCCCGGAAACTCGGTACTAAGGGCTCCGGGTACTGGAATTCTCGGGGCGCACGCTAGAATTCTCGGGGTGCATCGCCCCAACCGGCATCAAAGGCAGATCTGTGCAGGGTCGGGATAACTTCACCCCTGTCAGCTGCGCTTGGGTACCGTCACCAGATTTCAACCAAGGTTTGGCCCTCAAGCCTGTGCCTCCCTCTCGGTCACCTCCTAACTCAGGGGTCCGTCCCTGAGGTCTATAGTGGCTTTGTCCACAGGGCTGCATTGGGGGGATTCTCGGGGGAAATCATCAGTGAGGTCCTAAAGGTTCAAGCTGCTATGGACACCCCCCAGAGGCACCGCCGGGTCGTGGCGTAGTCTCGGGGTCACCTCCTGCCCCTCCGATTGCCAGCTCAGGGGTCACCCCGGGAGGACAGGGATGCCCTTTTGCAAACGGGGGGCTGTTCAGGTCCTCCTGCAAATCGGGAGAGAAATCCCACATCGCCTCCACCTCTTGGCAAGCGGGCACCCCGGGGGGCTGGCAGCTGGCAGGGTCCCTAGATGCTAGACGGCCGGGCTGGGGGACCCCCGAGGGGCCTTGGGGGTCACCAGGGGTCAAGCCTGGGGGACCCCTTGGAGGGGCAAGCAGGAGGGATGCTGGCAGGGATGCAGGATGCTGGTCCCCAGGGCAACAGCCTGCCGGGCTACGCGCCCTGTGGGTCCCGGGGGCGTGACCCCGGGCCGCGAGCCGGCGGGGGCGACGCCCCCCGGACCCCACCTACCGCCGCGCTCGGCCGGGACCCAGCGGGACGCGCTTCCCCATCCGGGGCGCCGAGACTTCCGGTCCGGCCCGGCCGCGCGCCTAGAGCGTCCCCCGGGCCGCGGGGCCGCTGCTGCCCCCTGCCGGTCGCCGTCGCCGGGAGGACCGCCGGGTCCCATCCCCGACCCCGCAGGGCTGCATGCGACGCGCGGGCCAGCTCCGGCTCAGCTGCAGGCCACCCGGTGGCACCTTGGCGACCCGGCCCTCCGGGGCTCTGGGGAGGGTGCACGAGCGCAGAGATGCCCAGGCCTGGTCCTGGGTGTCCCCCCACCCCTGCAGGAGAGTGGCCGGGACTCAAGCGCTGACATAGCAGAAGCTGCTGGGGGCAGTGGTGAAGGAGGGTGCTGGGGGCCGGAGAGGAAGCCCAGTGGATAGGGCGCTCTCCTTGCACCAGGTTTGAGCCCTGAGCACCGCCAGGAGTGACCCCTGGGCGCTGGCACGGCCGGGTGCGGCCTGGACACAGCCCTGGACACAGCCCTGGACACAGCCAGGTATGCACCCCCAAAAAATAAGGGGGTTTGGGGTGTCAGGGGAGCACAAGGTGTGAGTACAAGCTCAGGGCTGGTTTCTTTACCTGTGCAACAGAGAAAACGCTTTGCTCCGGCCTCCTTAGGGGAAGGCCTCCAGGGTCCAGCAAACGCTTTGCCCTGGCCAGGGTCCAGCAAATGCTTTGCCCAGTGAGTGCCAGCTCCAACGCATAGCCCCCGACCAGGGCCAAAAATCCTGCAAAGGTGACTCGGCCCCGTCTCTCTCTGCCCCGAAAGTGGACCGGCCTCATCACCGCAGCCTCCACAGGTGACCACTGGGCCCCGAGCACAGACCAGGTGGGGTCAGGACCCTCCGTCTGACCCCGCAGGTGCCCGGGACCCTTGGGAGGGTGTGAGGGTAGGACCTGGGGCTAGGGCCCCTGCAGGGTGGAACAGAACAGAATGCAACCGAGGGAGGCCTGAAGGTTCTGGAAGGGAGAAGGGAGGAAGGTTCTAGAACGCCTGACTCCGTTTGGCTCCCCCAGACTCTGGGCACCTAGGGAGACCCCGGTTCCAGGCACGGCACCCAGACTCCAGGGGGTCAGCAGAGAAAGGCCCCAAGAACCCTGTTTCCTGGGGTCCACCCAAACATGCATGGCAGGGGGAGTGGTCACGAGGAGTGGACAGCTGGCCTTGCGGGTCAGAGGCCAAGTGCAGGTGGGTGGGAAGCCTCCCTGATTTCCTGGGGCTTGGGGACTGCCCAGGCTTCGGGCACCGCCCACCAGGACCCTGAGCTCTGGGCTGCCCCGGCCCACGTGGGGGGCAGCAGGCAGTGGTCAGGGGCCCCCAGTGAGAAACTCCTGCAGTACTACGCCGCGGCCACTGGGTGGCAGCCGAGAGCGCAGTCTGTCCTGGGAGCGGTCAGTAAGGGGGTCAGGGTGGGTCACCAAGGTGGGTCAGGATGCCCAGGGCTGTGTCCGAGTGTGTGTGTGTGTGTGTGTGTGTGTGTGTGTGTGTGTGTGTGAGAGAGAGAGAGAGAGAGAGAGAGAGAGAGAGAGAGAGAGAGAGAGAGAGGAGAGGAGAGGGTGCGGGGAGTGTGAGGGGGGGCTTTGGGGCGTGCATGGGGGTGCAGGGATGTGCCCAGGAGAGGCGGGATCTTTGCTTTCTTGGGGTGCAGGGGGTCCCCCCAAGAGCGCCCTGCATTACACTCACACAGTCTTTCCCTCCACAGATGCCAACTGTGCCACCTTCAGAGGGTGCCAGGCCCTGTTTTGTGGGGCGGGCGGCCGTGCAGACCCCCGGCATCCAGACACCACCACCCCCCAACCCCAGCGGCGGGCGTTGGTGAGTCACTGCGGGCCCCTGGGAAGGAAACTGGGGGAACTCCCGGAGTGGGCCACACCCCCTGGGACACCTTGCCACGCTCCGTCCCGTGCCAAGGTGTCAGAGACCAAAGGCCCGGCCACCCTGGCACCCCACCCCTCAGCGTCACGGGTCCAAGGGCAGAACTTTGAGCTCCACGTCCAGGAGCCTCCGGCTGAGACAGTGACTGGGGTTGGGGCGTGTGCAGAGCCCTAGTGAGTCACAGGCATAGAGGGGAAATTGAGGCCCAGAGTGACGGTGGCATAGGGAGGGAAGGGAGAAAAGAAACAGTGAAAGGGCAAGGAAGGGGGGAGGGGGCACCAGCGAGGGAGAAAAGCCTGAGCTGTGGGTGGGACGCTCTTGTCACCATCCCCCATTTCCCAGAAGGGTCTGTGACCTCAGAGCTGGGAACTGGGGCGTGGATGAAGGGGTGTCTCCTCAGCAAAGCCCTGGAGGCAGGCAGAGCTGATGGTGGGGGGACACACAACAGAGACCCCAGTACAGCTATTAAAGCCTTCCCACGTTCCCACATTATTTACTTGACTTCTGGCATCCTGGTTTCTGTGTTCTGGCTGAAGTTCTGGGGCCAGAGGGATTGTACCGCAAAGTAGGACACTTGCCTTGTATGCAGCCGGCCAGGATTCAATCCTCAGCATCCCTCCCAGAGGGCGTTCCCCCCGCCCCAACCCCAAGACCCACCGGGGTCAGCCCTGAGCACTGGGAATGTTCTCTGAAATCAGGGCCCACTGGGTGATATCATAGAGGTGATAGGGGTCTTCTGGATGGCTCAGGACTGGTGCTCCGGGAGAAGGGGGGGAGCGGAGACCCTATAGCCAGAGACAGTGCCCACCTTCCATTCCCTCCGGAAGTGCCTAGGGTCAGGTGATCTTCCTGCTTCGGGGAGTGGGGGGTCAGACACTCGGCCTTTTCCTTGGCTGCAGAAACTATTTCCTGGCCCATAACATCAGAAAGACGGCATGATTTTTGGGTTTTGGGTTTTGGGGCGTTTGTTTTTAGTTTTGGGTTTTGGGTCACTCCTGACTCTGCACTCAGGAATTACTCCTGTTGGTGCTCAGGGGACCCTATGGGATGCCGGGGATCGAACCCGGGTCGGCCACTCAGGAATTACTCCTGTTGGTGCTCAGGGGACCCTATGGGATGCCGGGGATCGAACCCAGGTCGGCCGCATGCAAGGCCAACGCCCTCCCCGCCTGTGCTATCGCTCCAGCCCCAAGGCAACATGATTTTGAAGGGAAGAGAAACCAGAGAACGAATTCCCGACTGGGTGCAGAGTCTCTATAGTTAAGGCCGATCGCTGAAGCGCTGGCTAACGAGATCCGAAAGTTCTCTGAGGTTCACGGGATTGGTTAGAGAGCAATTAGAGGGTAATAGAAAGGGTTATTAATTTAGGAATTGAAAAATGTGCTCCCTGAGAGTGTCTTTCTCTTTCTCCTTCAGTTCCCATTCCCTTTGCCCCTTCCCCCTCACCCCCATAATCTCCTTGAAACCTTTAGCCCAGGTTCACAGGTTATATCTCACTAGGACGAACTTCAGAGCTTTTTCTTTTCAAATCCTCGGAAACTTAATTATCTCAGTTTCATGGCCCAAACCACCCGGTCCCCACGACCCCCTAGGTGATAGTTAGGGGCTCTTCTGCCCACTTTCACTTCGGCCATCTGCTCTTGTGGACCCTTTGCCTCTGTTCTCAGGGCTGGGGTGATAGCACAGCGGGGAGGGCGTTGGCCTGGCATGTGGCTGACCTGGGTTCGATCCCCAGCAACCCATAGGGTCACCCAAGCGCTGCCAGGAGTGATTCCTGAGTGCAGAGCCAGGACTCAGCCAGGAGTCACTGTCACTGTCACT